ACGAGGACGGACGGACGACGACGAGAGAGAAGGAAGGAAGGAGAGAGAGAGAGAGAGAGGGACGCGGCCGTCGCCCCCCGCGAAATATTATAGCACCCGCGTCATTTCCGCGCGCTGATTGGAAATTGTCACCTGCCGCGGAACTATCTCTGCTCGATTGCCCGCGCGGATATTAGCCGGAAGCGCGGCCGCGCCGCGCGGCACGAAAACTTTTTGATTGCGTTTCGCAATCCGCGAAGATCTCGCGCCGCGCCGGGTGAGATCGGGACGCTGCGGACGTGCTGCGCCGACGTGTGCGCGTGTGGCGAAATAGATACCGCGTACGCGGTATCTGCTCTCTGTTTCTGCTACTTTGATGAACGGCGTCCCGCGGTGCGCGGGCCCGCCGACGCACGGGAACCGACGCGGGCGTCGTTGATAATGATGCATCACCGCGCGAGGACGAGCCGGTATCCGCGCGGGGGTCACTGAACGCTCTCACGGACTGTTCTTTTTCGACTCTTTCATGAATTTCACAGTCGGACGGCAAGCCGGCGGTATCTTTTTCGCACAGCCACGAAAATCTATTTTCCGCGCTGAAAACCCACCGTCAGATTTAATGTCGCGCGGATATTATTTACGACTTTCGGTCTTCAATTCCCGACACACAATCTTATCTTTTTATTATATATTACGTATTTTTTTTCTCGCGAATGGAAGGTAACAAATTTTTCGAATGAATTTTTCTGATTTACCGCCACGGCGAAAGTGTGATTTTATCTCTCGAAATTTGAGAAACGTCTTCAAACGAAGATAAAGCATAAAATGTTGTAATAAAAGAATATTTCGGAGCAGATTGTATCGTATGAAACGAAGATGAAGCCGTGTGCTTCGATCACCCAGAGTTTTTTTTCTTTTTTGCGAATGTATAAAGCATAAGGCACTACAGAGAACGGAGTGTGTATACACGGCGGATCTGGTAGACGACTACACATTGTGTCTACAAGTGTTTATCGATATCTCGCCGGAATAAGCTATACATGATAAAATCACATATTCGAACGCGTATGAAAGATTCATATATTCAAACAAACTCCGCGCGACCCTATTTTCGCTGAAGACAATCCTGGACACAATTCTCGTTATCTTCAATGTGCAACGATGCGGAATCCGCAGCGGCATATTATATCGAGCCGTAGACGATGAAATCCATGCAGAAGAATTTAATATCGTATCATCTACATTTAATCTTGCCCAAGACTCACGATAAATTCCAATAAAATCCCGATCAGAATTTCACGACGCCGGGAGAAAAATGTTTCTTTAATAGCGTCGCCGCGGCGCGTAAAATAGAAGCTCGTGGAGTCGCCGCGGTCTGTTGCGATCGCGGAGAATAATATAAATGCGGGACGCGCAAACACGCATTAATTCGATCTCGTTGAGCCTGAAAAACATGCGATCGGATTTTTGGTCGTGTAAAGTGCGGCGCGGCGGTAGCGCGACGCGGCCGACCGTTCGCGCGCGAATCGCATTGATTTTCAACAAGCGCAGACCAAACTCCACGCGCCAGTCCCTCTGAAAATACACGTACGTACTTACCTACACATTACGGATGCAGCCGGTTGCACACGTGCGCACGAGAGAGGACAGTTTGAGTAGGCAGCTGCATTTGCGGACGAGGTGGTGGAGCGTATCCCTGTCGAGTGCTTTGCTGCAGAAGAGTGTTTCACCACCAAAAAGTCGAAAACAGTCGAGCGGTAGTTCTAGAAACGTGAAAAAAAAAAAGAATATCCTCGATTAATTTTGGACGAATGACGAGAATGAATATTTATGACTGAATCCCGATTATATTCGATAAAATTAATTGATGTATTTTTTCGCAATTTATTTGATTTATAAAACTGTGATAAATTTTTTCGCAATTTCGCACAAAAAGAGATTCGAGCACATATTCATGTAAGACGTGTGTATTTTGAGTATTTAAAAGAAATTGACGAAAAAATATCCCCGTATCTCAATCAGTTTTCTGAGATTAGTGACCCATCGATCGATTAAACCACGAATAGACGTAACCGCGAGCTAATCAACAAAGGATACGTCATCGTGGCACATATGTGTTTGCATGTTGACAATTCGTGGGGGAATCGAATGGTTGTTTAGATCGTGGTTAGTAACGATCGCCCGCCGGGGAAGAAGGAATCAAACGGTGGCTAATCAAACGAGCACGCGCCGTGATTCAACGCGATTATCGTTATCCTCCGTTCGCTCTGCTATTAGTGCAGTGATCAAGGGGAATCGTTCCGTGCCGTTAATAGCGGCACAATTTGACGTATTTTAATTGCTTCATCATCTCCGATTCAAATTATTTATAAGAAAAGAACAAGTTTGGAAGTAAATTTGAAGAAACATTTGCGCCTTGAAAATAATTTTGACCACTATACATCTTTGCATTTTCCTAAAAGAATTCCTTCCAGAAAGCGCATGATTAATTTCTCTATTTCATTTGTAAGAAAATCTCATGTCTTACATACAGTGACCGATTCAATTAGCGCGAACGCGCCAAATTAATTTCGCGTCATTGCGAATTATCGCCAACAATTATCTCCGTTACGAGGAAGGCCGATTAGAGACGCCCCGAATTAGCGCGCTAATTCGCCCCAATATTTTTCAGCACCAGGTGTAGCACTCGCGCGCGCAAGAAGTGCCCAAGAGAATTCGCAGGGCACGGCTAGTTTCTCGCCCTCGCTTCGCCGTTCCACGCCGCCCCGGAACGGAGGATTTATGACCCCTACCGATAATTCTCCGTTGCTCCTTTTTGGAAATAAACGTCTCCTTCTCTCTCCCATCGGCCGCACTCGACGGCGGCGGCGGCGGCGGCAGCGAATCGAGAAACGGGATGGACGTCAGCAGCGGCGGCGGCGGCGGCCTCGTATTAATCACTCCGCCGCAGACAGAGCGCGTTACACGGTGGCAGATAACGTTATCGCGCCGGTTTCTATTACGCCGTAACACTTTCCGAAGCGAAGGGGCCGGGGCCGATAGTGGTCGGCAAGGCGCGTTCGTTCGTCTGCAATTTATGAATGTACTCGCTTACATATTCGCCGGCCGCGCTGCTCTCTATCTGATTTTTCTTCACGGTTTTCTTTCTCGAATTACACGATGACCGACTATTCCCGCGACGTCGCAAAGAGATGTATAAGTCGTGTTGGTTCTTAAAATTCGGAAGGGGTTGCTGCGAAACACGCTGCATCGAGAATTATAAACATCGTAAGGTCGATCTCTTTCTGACAGTGTGTTTGTTGTTTTAAATTCTCACACAATAATATTATTGGCGAGATGCTGCAGGAAATAATTTCGATGAAAAATAGAAATTCTTATCGATAAAAATGATATATATTGAACTAATAATTTTTACAAACTATTATCTGCGGTTAAAAAAAGCGAGCAAGTTATTATATTTCTGCGCAATGTTGCAATTTTTCTGAAATCAATATCATTGCTTTTGTAGGGAAGCTTATATAAAAGTATCAATGTTTCCAATCCGCTTATAAATTAAAGAACATTGTATAAGTTACAGGATCAATACGTATAAATAGGATCAATACTTCGTTTTACACAAGTTACAATTATTATACCTGCATCAATCTCTCTTATCACGTTTCGATGGTCGCCATAAGGCGACTATAGAAACGTCGATATTATTGCTTACATTTCTGCCTTTAAAGCAGAAAAACTGATCGCGTCGCGACGCGGTAAAAATGTGTTAGCGCCGTAACGCATCATTACCGCACTACATCCAACGAAAACGACGACAAGTCGTCGCTCGCGCTCGCTGCCGGCAGGCAGCGTGGAATTTACGCCGTCGAAGATATTCATGGCTCGTTGGCGAGTTTATTTTACTCATAAATTATGCCCAAGTATTCCGGCAGTCGTTCGCGTGGCACGAAAGGTTCTCGGTCTTCGCTGCGCGCGCCGTATAAAAGAGAGACGCTGCCGCCGCGGATGCCGACGCCGTTGCGGTTCAACAAATACTTCAAGCCCGCGAGAGCCGCCGTCAGACGCGCCGAGCTCGTAATTTACACCTTCGCCTCCCAAGAGAATGAGCACGGATGTTATGGCCGCGCCGATCACGAGCTTCCCCGCTCCGCCCCGCCCGCTGACTTTATCTTCCCCACGGCGCGATAAAAGCTTCTTTTCTAAATAATCCAACGTTTTTTCATGTCAAATGGGAGGCTCCCTTCGGCGGAGTTGGAGACGACTCTCGAGAACGTCGCACTGTCTCTCCGCTGCATCGATAATTGAAAAGTTCGAGGTGAGACGGTTCCGAAACTTGCACCGCGACGGATTAATACAGCTCGCGGGGAACTTGACGATTGCCGAATCGTCGAACCGAGCTAACATTTTCATAGAAATGTGCAAATTTACACGACTTACTTTTAGAACGTACATTTCTATTCCTTGTTTTTCATCCCACATAGCATGCCGCATATTTAATCCGATTAATGTATTATGTGTTTATGAATGTTTATGAAAATCCTTCATACCCTGTTTTGATACAAGTGAGTTATTGAGATTATTCGTAATTTGAAATTTGCAGTGTTTCCACGTATGTATACAGGTGAACGCAGAATGTTGACACCATGTGTATACATTGTTAAACGAAAACAAATAATTCACAATCGCAAGCAGCAATCGTCGCAGAATTGAGTGACGGGTAGTTTTTGCGTCTCGCATTCCGAACGCGATTATCCGTGAATAATCGCAATTTCACACGTTAACTAAGAATGCCGAGCATCCAAACGCCGTCGAAGCAAGAGAGAGAGAGAGAGAGAGAGAAAGAGAGGACGAGGTGGGGGGGCCCGGCAATAAATCGGCGGTTCTCGAGTGCCCCGCGGGAATGAACTGACGAAAATATAGCGGCGGGCCGCAAACTACGAATTGTTAGTTACTGCGCGCCGCCGTAAAATATATGAGCCGGCGGCCGTTTGCGAAGTGGGATATGCCCGCAAAACCCCGAAGGGCCGCGAAAAACGAAAGCCTACCTCGAAAATTCGACACCTCGAATCGCGGGTATAAGCCTCGAGTACAAGCGTTCCCTGATTGCCGAACGCGGCAATCTAATTGCTAACCGCACGAAAACAGTGACTTCTGCACGAAATAGAAAAAAAAAAAAAAAAAAACAATCTTTTATTTTATTTTTCGCTTACCATATCGAATTTTATTTTGAAAGCAAAATTCGATAGGTTTCTTCGCGAGAAACAAGGAATATTGCATGACGTTATTGAGATTTTTTTTTATAACAAATTGATATCCATTTACATTACGTTATTCTTGAAGCGAGCATCTGGCCTACAAATAGACGAAATAAAGAGTGTGAATCTTTTGTAAAAATTTTGGAGTAAAACATTCGACAAAATTCTCATACAGTTCCCGATATGAATTCGACCTGATTCTCGTGGGTGAAAAATAAAACTTCGTATTCCAACCTATCACTAGTAGCAGCAGTGAATAATTTAACAGAAGTGGGGTACCGTATCGAATAGAAAAGTTCGGCATATGTGTGGTATTCGCTTGATCACGCGAGTTACATTGTTATTTTCGGCCTCTATACGCCAAACCCATTTACCGATGGCCAATGAGTGGAATAATTTTTATTTTTACCGTCAATTTGTATGGAATGTCGAGATACGTGTAATGGACGACGTAGACAACGTTCGCGAGATTCGGCAGATACGTGATTGCGATGCAATCGTAAAAATATAGCGCAGAAATAATTCCATTGTGTACCTGTTGCGATATCTCGCGAATCTAAATTAATTTCGCCTAACAAACACAGTAATCAACTGCATTCAATTACAAGGCTTACACAGGCTAGTACGTATCTGCTTTCCGTCATCAAATAAATTTCTCACTCATATTGCGAAGTTATTTTCAGCTTTTTTAATTTTTTCTAGGTCAGAAAGCAGGTCATCAAACGGGTTATATTTGGTGTATCGCGCTCTCTTGGTACGAAATCGAATTTTATTTTTATTCGTTAATAATAATATTGAATCTGCAATAGACAGCGCGGAGAAATATTTCAAGAGTGTGTATTAATTTTAATTCCCAGCTCGGAGATCGAAACGTTCTCCGTCGCGCGAAAGAAAGAACGAGTTTCGTCGAGAGTCGCGACTTGGATTCCGTCGCGAAGCACTCGACGTTTTCACTCCGCACACTATTATTTCGTTGTTCTTTCGCTCGAACTTTTCGCGCCGCTCGTTCTTTCGGCTCTTCGTAATATGCAGCGCGCTAAACGCAGTTACTAATTATGACGCGGCGTTAAGTTGAACGGGGTTTGCGCTCGCACCGGGCGAATAGCCGTGGAGGGGGGGGGGAGGCCTCACGAAGATGATAATGGCCATCAGAATTCTAGCGACGTGCCATTAGGTAAATTGTGAGAAATACCGTGAATCGCGGCGTCGACTCGCGCAGTCGGGCCACGTTCGAATTCTCACGAGCGCAACCGAGAGACGGGAAACTTGTGCCGGTCGATTCGATTAAATCGCGGATACTTAATCAAAGCGGATGTTAATGTCGCGTCATTACGCCCGTCGCTGCTCGTTTCGGTCAATAAGACTTCTCTCGTAATACGTAAGTTCCAACTATCGCAGTTCTAAACTATACGAAAGTGTCTCTCGGAATTGTTAGCGCCGATTCAGCGCGACGCACGTGCTCTCTCTGTATGTAACGTTCGTTAAAGAAGCGAGACTCCACCGCTGATTTT